ATTGTATATTTTGACCCGCATTGACCTTGTGTTTGATTTACAATTTTAGAAATTAATTCTTGATTTGACATTTCAGTTTTTCGTTGCTTATGTTTAATTATGTTTTTCTGTTTCATTTTATTCTTTCCACCATTTTTACACTGTTAATGATTGTACAGCACCTTGTGAATATATTTATGTGAAAGGTGCTTTATAAATAAAACTTTACTTACTTACTAATTAAATCAAAAACCAGTTTTATGTGTTTGTCACAGTTAATTAGTTAATCACTTTTTATGTGTGATTTAATCACCTCATTAAAGCAGACTTATGTAAAGTCAAAAACTAATTTTTGAAGTGGCGTAACTGCTTTTCTCGTAATATCCAGTCCTAATTACACGGTTTCACTCCGGGGTATGCATATCAGATATTTGTGCAAGCTGACATACTGCAAACCTCAACTTTGTTTTCATCTTTTAACTGAAACATTACAGTTGATCATTGTTTACAGGCCTGCCTGAGCTGCCAAATATGTTTACACACAGGAGTCTAACCAAAGTTTCCAGCAAAAATATGTCAGCTGTGCAATGAATGAGCATTTTATAATGGGTATATTTTTATAGCCGTTAAAGAGTGAAATGCTGACAAGCAGAAACCATTTTAATTGTTGAAAATATCTGCTAAATCTTGTTTCTAAATGGTTTTGTGGTTTGACGAACTAGTTTAAGACAACAGAAGTGATGAAACATTATTCCAGATGAGTTKGAACATGTACACTCAGACATGTTAAAACGTCTATTTAATTATACCAGTAATTGTACCACAGACCAGTACCAGTTCTGATTAATCTTTAAACAATTATATAAGAGTGAAGTGACTCAGTAACTTCCAGATGTGTCACATCCTCCACCTGCTGGCTACAATAAGCTGTTGACCCTTCAGGTTACACGCCCTCCTGTCAACATGTCCCACCTTTGATCTGCCATTGCTGACTCATCTTAAACCAGGACACATTTCCACTTTAAAGTTGAGGAAGTGGCTCATGTCTGTTTTCAGTTCAAATGTTTTTTTTTTGTTTGTTTCTTGTTTTTTTAGGTGCGCAGACATTAGCTTTATGTGTTCCTATATACTGTTAAGGCATACCATCTGTATCTGTGCATGTATATGATGCACTGATATGATCACCTATTATATGTTTTCAGGGTTTACCAATGCACATTTTGACGCATGTGAGACAATTTAAAACCACATTTAGTGACGCCTTTACATGGTCTATTGTTCACTGCATGTAAAGGAATCTCTACAGTGAAATCACACATCATAATAGCTCTGTAATTGCATGTTTAATTCCTTAAGTCAGCATCTTTTTCCTCTTTGTTCTCAGTCATTTAAATAGGTCCATGTCTTTTTCTCACTCCAGGCTTCACATTCAGCTCTTGCTTAGTTCATATGTGAGCCATCACTCCCATCCCCCACCCCTACTATCCACAGCAAAGAGTAGAACCGTATGTCTTGTTGGTGTCATTGAGGAGAGGAAGCGAATACAGCGCTACTGTTGGCCGACATCTTGATCTTTGGATGGAGACACCTCCAGAGCACAGCAGTGATGATAGAGGACATACTGTATGTGTGTTAGGATCTTCTGCTCCATTAAACCTCTAGTTTAATTCAGGCTTTCAGGGAACCAAAAGAAAAAAAAGAGTGGCGTAGACAACAGACAGCACGCCTAGAGTGTCTTCACTGCACACTCTGTTAAACCTGACTGGAATAGATGTGACTTTGGGAGGCAGGGCTACAGTAGGGAGAGTGAAGGGGAAAAGTAGGTCATCCTGCTCTGCACTGGTCCACACTCGAACGGTTTGCTGAGTGAGCATGGCAGCCTTCAGAGTCAACACATGCTCCAGCTTTTTGCTGTTTTGTCTTTTTGACAACACTTTTGCGCTGCAGCAGCCACTCCTTGCACCTTGTTTTCAAAATAGCAGCTTGTGTGTAGGAGGAGCCTGTCCACTTGATGTCTTTTACTGGAGCGTTTGATGCTATCAGTTGATCATTTGCATGATTGCCATTCAACTGGGTGCCTGTCTGAGCAGCGAGATAAGCTGGAGGCTCGTCTGTCTGACCTGACTGATCTCAGGTCAACACTGATCATAAATTCCTATGACCTTGCCTTCTATGAGCAAGGCGCTGAAAGCTGTTCAGGTTCATCAAAGCAAATAGGCAAAAGGAGCCAGACTCTGTTCTGATATTTAACTTCCTGCGCTGAGTGATTGCACTGCTGTTTGACTGAAGCAGGTGAATAATAGAGTTATTCACTTAGAGCGCTTGATCTCCGTCGGTTTCTTCTATCGCTTCTCCTGACGGGCTGTTTGTCATGTCGACAGAGACAGAGTTCAATTCACAGAGAACAGTTTCCTTGTTGCAGCGTGTGATCGCATCTTAGAAGGTTATCAGACATGCAACGCAAACTATGAAGCCRCATAATAGCAGCTTATTCTGTAGATAACAGGTACAAGAATAGTTTGACATTTTGAAGATGTTATTTCCTTGACTGTACAAGCTAAATCTGCTAGCAGTATCTGTTAAGATCGCACCAAAAATGTAGCCTCCAAGCTGATCATAAACGTATTTCTCCTCCCCATGTGAGGGGTGTTTACTCGTGTAGTTGACCCCGAGGCGCTCATCCATCTCTTCTCTGCTGGTTAGACCTGTTACCCRTCTCCCCATGCTAACCTTGTTTCAGTTCATCACCTCAGGCTACAGCTTCAACATAATTAGAAAACATTACCATCATTTATTCACCTCCCTACACCCCGGCTGTGTCGGTTAATTGTGCAGAGGTTGTTTTTTTGTTTATTGAGCTGTGGCGTGCTGGTTTGAAAAGCCGTTTCTTTTGGCCCTCAATGGGAGGAGCTTTATAAAGGTTTGGAGTTAGATATGCAGCCAGGAATACTTATGAGTGGTGGTTCAATAACTCCTCTAGTTCCAAAAAGCTTTTTGTTCTGCAGAGCATGTGTCCCATTGACTTGTTTCTCTTGTCTGTGTCTGCTTATCTGATGGTTACCCCCCCCCCCCCCGCCGCCCTAAAAGTTTCCAAGCTTCAGGAGGTGCAGATAAGCTCACAAAAAAGAGGCTTGTTCTGACACTTAAAAAAGAGAAGCTTTCAAATTTACTGCGTTTGTTGTGTTGTATTATATTTTACAACATCTAAATTGTTTAACTGAGGGAATGCGCTCAAGTCAGAGCCTGGAAATGTCTTGTATAAATTCCTGTGACGTGAGTTGCTGTTTGCTTTTTATTGTCGAAGTTTAGCAACAGGTACGCTGCAGTCTATAAAATTTGTTAAAGCAGGCTGTTGCGCCCATGTTTGATGAAAACATTTGAGCTAACTGTGTGGTCCTGTTGTACTTAATGACTCGGAGCTGTGAGGATTCTTGGAAAACCTTTACTGAACTTTACTTTTTGATTGCCTGAATCACACAAAAACAAAACAAAGTTTAGTTTACATGCAACATAATAACAGGATAAGTCTCATCCTGTGATGGCAGATAATGCTTTGTGGAACAGCAAACAGATTTTYATATTATATCAGATTTTTATGTAATATGATAATCCACTTGTGAATCAATAGAGAATATTGAGAGTAAAACCTAAACATCTTTATCGCTCCCTCCCTCCCATTTCCTGTGTTCTTCCCCAGGGTTCGCTCAGCACTCAGTCTGCCAATCTCCTTCATGAAAGAGCCCTCAGATGTTTGCAGGTCAGGAAGGAAAAGAATGAGAAGATAGTTGAGTMATGCAGAGCAGATATGACGTGATCTGAACTCAGGCATCTCTAAAGGAATTTTTATTGTACGCGAAGCACTGGAGACAAATGCAGACGCTCTGATTCAAAGGAATGGACAAGTTTCTCTTTTTTTTTGGCCCACAAGAACATATCCACATTCTTTTCTTAAGAAAGACAGCAGATTCTCAGTATTGATGTGTGATGTAAACTTTAAAATTTGTTCTTTTTTTTTTTTTCAAACACCAGCAGCTCCTGCTGAAAGCGTCTCTGGAAATCGTCCTTCAGTTTTTCTTAACATTCCTGCTTCACTTCCGCATGTTTCCTGCATGACCTTTCCTCACTCCTCCCCTTCGACCTCATTCTTTGTGTGATCTTGTGTTTTGGTTCCAATGTATCTGGTCTTGTTGAAACAGTGAAGGCATGAGAAGTGCACACATTTCACGCTGACAGGTTCCCAGTGTAAGTACTCTGACTGTCAGGGCTGCTAATGATTGGGTTTTTATTCAAACACTCCATTGTTTGTTTTGTGTGTGTGTGAGTCTTACACCGTCAGGTTGGAGGAAACGAACGATGATCTCAGCTGGGGATGAAAAGCTTTGCTTTAGCAATACGACTAACTGCACGCTCCAAAAGGGAAGAGTGGGTTTGTGTTTGTGTCTGTTGCTATAGCAAAATTTCCATTAACTCACAGGGTTTTTCCAAACTGGGCTGGTCAACCTGTACTGACTGAATGAAACAAATGGTAGCGGAGATTGAAAAAAAAAGAAGCTTGATGCAAAACAAAGCACAAAAAGATAAATATAATATTGACCTAGTCAGGTGGTGTTAGGGCTAAAAATAAAGGCTGATTTGCTACAAGGCAGATGAAAGAAAAATGGAGGGAGCTGAAGCTCTAGAGAAGCAGGTGAGGCTTAGCCCTGATTCTCCTTCTCTCTTTAATTAGCATGGGATAGACTAAGGGTGCTATTTTAGGAAAATAACCAGATGCTACATTCCAAAAACAAAGTATATCCCTCTGTGCAGCTTGAAAGGAGGTGTAAACAGCTGAAGTTTAAAGGCTCATCACCCCAAATTGCCTTCAGCGTATGATTTCATTCATTCAGCACCAATAAAACAGCCCTGTTTCTCTTTACGCCCTGTGTGATCCTTCAACTTTCTCTGCTTTTCTCATGGAACAAGTGTGCACACGCCTTTGTCTGAGAAAGAGACGCCAAGACAAACATCACAGTTGTCCGACCTAGTTGTGTGCAACAGAGGCTGATCTGACTCCACCCTGCAGTTGTGTCTGACTTCTCGTTGCCTAATAAGCACCCCCTCAACCACAGCCGGGGCGCCGGCTCTGACTCTCAGTTCAAAACCCAGCTGGCATCGTGGGGAACTGCTGACATCATCACGATCACCTCCAGCGGTCTGGTCTCTAGGATCTTTAACTCCTTAGGTTCATGGTGTCACGTCAGAAAAAAAACATGTCGTGTAAATACTTAGAAAGTTTGAGAGTAATCATTAGTATGTCCGGATATGTACTTTTGTGAGATTTTGTGGTGAACTAAACAACCAACGTACCGAGGGAGGCTTTTATTGTGGTGAAACAGTAGGTGTTTGGAAGGGATATTTGGCAGGAAGATGACACAGAGACTGCTCTATTCTCTGCTGGCCAKTCCTGTTCATTTCTCACACTGTAAAACTCATTGTGTTGTTGTCCAGCAGTGCTTGAGTCACACTTAGAGTTCTGTGACAAACCATGAGGTCCCCTCAGAACAGGAAGAGATCACTGCCAGACAGAGTTGTAAAGTAACTAAATACACTTTGTTACTGTACTTTAGTAGAAATTTTGGTTATCTGTACTTTACTTGAGTAATTATTTTTTAGCCTACTTTTTACTTTTACTCATTAAATTTTTACACAATTATCTGTACTTTCTACTCACTACATTTTTTAAAAAGGTAAGAAGTAGAAAGTCGTTACTCTTATTTTATTCCAAGTTGTTATTACTTAAAAAATACTATCCTGATAAATTGTGTCTTCTGGATAGAGTGAATTTAACTGTGGTTGGATGAGAAGTATGAATATATACCATTATGACACCCTATGAGCTTGTACACAACCCATCACAGCTGCACGCCGTTAGAAAAAATATTTTTTGGAGAAGTCACCTCCCAATAAATGTCAATTTGGAAAATCTAACTGCTCACTTTTACTCAGTACTTTAACTTTTAATACTTAAGTAGATTTTGTGTCAGAAATTTACTTTTGATACTTAAGTACAAAAAATATCAGATACATTAAGACTTTTACTCAAGTAATATTTTTAGAGAAGACTTTAACTTTTACCAAAGTTTTTTTATAAGATACTTGTACTTTTACTCAAGTATCACTTTGAGGTACTTTATACAACACTGCTGCCAGATCATGTTTGGATTGTGTTTCTGATCCCTGAATGTTAAAATAATCATATTTTTTTTCTCCCTCAGGTACGTGAGATCCTGGGCCAGTGTTCCTGTCCCGCTCAGTTTCCTATGATTAAAGTGTCCGAGGGGAAATACAAAGTCGGAGACTCCAGCGCTCTGATCTTCATCAGGGTAGGTCTTTTTCACACTGACATCATTTACAGTTTAGTTGTTTAGTTTAGTCTGTAAATGTAAATGTGTGTCAGTATAAGCATTTTGATTATGACACAGCTTAGACAATAAAACTGCAGATGTGTGTTAGAGATAGATGGCATCTGTTTAAAAAAACTAACCTTTGTGTAATCAAATATATTGTTGATTAATTTTGGATTTGATTTTTTTTTCTCTAAAGCATTATTATCACAAGAGGGAAACTGAAACAGCCAAGTATATATTGTCCAAAGTTTGACAGCCCAGTTAATCTTTAAAGCATTGTCAGAAGGTGCACTCTGTTTTACTGAGCCAAGACGGTTTGTTACCAACCTTTATTCCAAAGTTTTAGTGACTGTGTTCTCTTGAACTTTTGCTTTGAATTGCTTAAACTCAGTTTTGTTAGTATTTTTCAGAATGCATGTGAACAAGTATTTCATTTTGATCATCCGTTTATTCATTCTCTTTACCCGTTTGTCCTTTCTGGCTTGCGGGAGTCGTCTGCCCACCCTGGACAGGTCTCCAGTCCACCATATAGAGACAAACTACTATTCACACTCCCACTCACACCAAGGGACAATTTAGTTAGCAATTCACATGTCTGATGATGAAGCAGTGTAATCACTTTGCTGCATCTGAGTAATGTAATGTTTAACGTGTAAGAACTTATTCTTTCTCTGTGATGTTTTTACCAGAGTAACATTGGCATCATGTAATAGCTGCTCATTTAATTTGGAGCCATGAAATAAAATAAAAAAACACCCTTAATGATGTATCCAGGTATAATAGAAAAACACTTTGCATGCTTATTCTAAACTGTTGAAAACACTCTCGGGCTCAGTTAGACTTGCAATAGTTTGGAAAAATGCTCTAATGTTGCTCTTGATGGTCATGCTGGCAAATCTCAGAAGTTTACTAACTGTAAGAAATAAATTAAAACACAGAGTGAAACAATTCTAAATTATCTTGAATATCTTATGTCACGAATGTGCAGCCAGTATATATTTGGCACATAGCACAGCGGGCGCTCAGTAATTGAGTGGAACCATATGGTGCTTGCATATGGCATCATATGTTGTTTTTAAGGGTTATGTAGCAACAGTTTTAACACTCAGCTGGTGGACTGAATCAAACCTCTTTAAGCTGAATGAAAAGTTGCTGTAACAGCATTGTGATTTCTCTGTTCTAGAAGTGTTTACACCCTGCTTTTTTCTGGCCCACTCCCAGGAAGCTACTTTTTCCATTCAGACACRAATAGAGCCTTAAGTAATTTCCTGCACTCTCCTTATCTTGGTCTTAGCTGGATTCCTGCRWGTTTCTTGGACGTTTTCACATTTCGGGTGCTGACTCTGTACTGATACTAGCCTCAGAGGATGGTGCAGGAAGGTTGGTTGATACAAAGGATCGATTTGTTCTCACTGGCCTAAAATRCAGAGCAGTTTAATGGACTGTTTGGATGGTGCTCCTAGTTTCCTGTATTTAAGTTACACTTTCTGACTCTCTGGCTGTCAGGAATATCAATATATTTCACTTCTGTTGGCCCCACTCTGTCTGTGCCAGGAGATGTGATATTTACTGTGGGATTCAGCCTTACAAGTCAAAATGTAAYAGGTTTTAGAAAATACATTCTGCATTTACACTCTGAATTTTAGTACTGTAAACCAACTGTGTGAAAATTACTTACACAAGCAGGAAAAATCATTCTTACATTTGTTACATTTTTTACATTTCTTGAAAATCTGTATATTTTATTAAAGGGGCAATATCATGTAAAATCAACTTTATTGAGCTTTATGTCATGTTATAACGTTATACTCTCGTAAAAAAAAACATGCCCAAAGCCTTGCTCTGACTCATTCATGCATGTTTGAGAAATCCTGCAACGTTTTTAGGAAGTCATGCTGAGGAGCAAAACGACAGGTGGGGACCAGAAACGCCTTTTGGTACCAGAAACGCCCCTGGAACGTGTCTTTAAGCAGAACTTCCTCATGGCAGAGCGCCCCCCTCCCCCCTCCCCACACACCCCGCCCAAGACCCCTGCGGGCTCTCCGGTAAAACTGAAAGTGAAACTGAAAC